GCATTTTCTAAACCGCAGGAAGCTTTCGGTGCATTAACGCAAAAGAGATTGATTCAAACACTAGAGAAACAGGCAGGAATAATAGGAAATGTACTGCAATGGATCAAGTCTTACGTAACAGGAAGGAAACAACCAGTCTTGGTCCGTAGGGAGGTGGCGGAATGGGTGCATGTGTCGAGTAGGGTTCCCCAGGGATTAGTACTAGGGCCTCTGCTATTTCTTCTACATGCGAACGACATGACGAAAGAGAAAGTTCTAGTTGTCCCTATTCACAGATGATGTGAAGGTAACAGGGAGCATACAAGCAAACGAGAACCAGGAAAGGCTTCAAATGGATCTGGACAGACTTCAGGCCTGGTTTGAGAAATGGCTTCTGGAGTTTAGCCCCAACAAGTGCAAGGTAATGAAGTTGGGGAAAGAGTTAAAAACGACACAGACGGAGCACCGGCTCGGGGAAAGACAACAAACCTCACTCAAGGAAAAGGATCTTGGGGTGAGTATTATACCGAGCATATCACCTGAAGCTCATATCAACCAAATAACTGCTGTAGCAAATAGGCATTTGGCAAATCAAATAATTGCTTTTCGAAAAGTCATTGACCACACAGTACACTGTGTACGGCAGGCCCGTGTTTACGTATACAGCACCAATATGGAACCCACACCTGGTCAAGCTTGTCAAGAAATTGGAGAAAACGCATAGGTTTGCAGTGAGACTAGTCTCGGAGGTAAGGGGTGTGTCCTATGAGATGAGGTTAAGGAAACTCCACCTAGGGGGTGATATGATAAAAATGTACAAAATTCGGAGAAGAATTAACAAGATAAGCAGGGACAGATTGTTAGAGAGATGGGACACAAGAACACTATGCCACAGCTGGATGTTGAAAACTCAGATGAGTCATACGGATATCAGTATTTCTTCAGCTCTTCAATTGGAGAGGTGAGTGGTAGAGACAGGATCCACACACAGCTTTCGAAGCCAGAAGAGAGCAAACCAAGTAGCGACCAGCGAAGAGGTGGGGCCTTGAGCTGTGAATGGACCCCTACATTCACACACAGGTGAGCACACACGCACACACACACACCACACACACACACACACACACACACACACACACACACACACACATTCTATCCCAACAAACCACACCCTGCCAGGTCCCCCACTCTCCCAGCCCTCGCAAACCCCCAGAATACAGTGTTGGAGAGGAAACTGAAGGTATGGCACACCGACTCGGATGAAATAACGAATAAGTGGGAGGAGTGGCACGAAAGAATCACATCACCAGACATCATAGCCCTAACAGAAACCACCCTCACAGGAATAACGGATACCATCTTTAACTGGTTATCAGATCCTGAGGAAAGACAAAAGGAACAGAGGGGGTAAAGGAATGACACTCCTCATCAAAAACCAATAGGATTTTGAGGAGCTGGAGAGAAGAGACAGAAGAAGCAAGAGACTACATAATGGGAACACTTCAGACTGTAGGTCCCAAGGTGGTAATTGCAGTGAATAGCAATTACCACCAGTGAATAGCAATTGGCACGAATATGATGTAACAGAGCGATCGTTGACACACTGGCGGAAGTGGCCAGAAGGGCACATGTGGGCTGAGCAAAGCTACTGGTCGTGGGTGACTTCAATCACAAAGAAATTGACTGCGAAAACCTGGAGCCACATGGGGGCCCAGAAACGTGGAGGGCTAAGATGATGGAGGTAGTAGTGGAAAACCTCATGCATCAACACGTAAGGGACACTACCAGAGAACGAGGAGAAGACAAACCAGCAAGACTGGACTTAGTATTCACTCAAAGTGGGTAGATTGCATTCTCTTGTACTGTAAGAAGGCTTTTGACACAGTTCCACACAAAATATTAGTGCAAAAGCTGGAGGATCAGGCAGATATAACAGGGAAGGCACTGCAATGGATCAGAGAATACCTGATGAGAAGGTATCAGCGAGTCATTGTACGTGACGAGGTGTCAGAGTGGGCGCCTGTGACGAGCGGGGTTACACAGGGGTAAGTGCTAAGACCGGTGCTGTTTCTGGTATATGAGAATGACATGATGGAAGAAGTAGATTTTTACGAAGTATCCCTGTTGACAGGCGATGCGAAGTTAATGAGGAGAATTCAATCGAAAGAGGACTAGGCAGGACTACAAAGAGATCTGAACATGCTGCAGACCTGGTCCAGAAACTGGCTCCTAGAGTTCAACCCCACCAAGTGGAAATTCTTGAACATTGGAGAAGGGCAAAGAAGACCACAGACACAGTACAGTCTAGGGAGCCAAAGACTACAAACCTTACTCAAGGAAAGGACCCTGAGGTAAGTATAATACCAAGCATATCTCCTGAGGAGCACATCGACCAAATACATGCTGTAGTATATGGGAGCCTGGCAGCCAAAGAACAGTGTACCGACATCTCAGTAAGGAATCGTTCAGGACTCTGTACACCGTGTACTTTAAGCCCATATTGGAATATGCAGCACCAGTCTGGAGCCCACACCTGGCCAAGCACATCAGGAAATTAGAGAAAATGAAAAGGTTTGCAACGAGACTAGTCCCGGAGCAAAAGGGTATGTCCTACGAGGAAAGGTTAAGGGAAATCGATCTGATGACACTGGAGAGCAAGAGAGATAGGGGGATATGATTACGACATACAAAATACTGAGAGGAATCGAAAAGGTGGACAGAGACAGGATGTTCCAGAGATGGGACACAAGAACAAGGGGTCATAAAGTTGTCTGGAAGTGAAACAGTGTGAAAAGTGATGTAGTTGAGACAGGATCGATTCATACTGTAGTTTTAAGAAGAGGTATGATAAAGCTCATGGCGCAAGGAGAGAGTGACATAGTAGCCATAAGTAAAGAGAGGAGTCAGGAGCTATGAATCGACCCTTACAATCATAATTAGGCGAGTACAAGGGTTATAACTTTTTTTTACTTTCCCCAAATAAATCATCTCCTGTGTCACAAATCGATGAACTTTTATTTAAAATCAATGAAAAGGTCCCTAATTCCTCTCAGTTTTCTAAAAAGGTCAGCCCTAAATAAAAACTATAGATCACCATATATTTGCATTGCTACTCATAAGTAACAACTCAGGAAAGTACTAATTGGAGACTCAAATTAATGAATAATATTAATCACCATATATTTACGTTATTAATCATAAGTAGCAACTCAGAAACAACTATTTATCCTTCAAAAAGACGGAACCTGTTGACTCAGCTTCAACATCATCTCAGGATCAAGCAGCGAGTGACAGTGGTAGTGAATGTGAAGGAGCGAGTATGAAGATGAAGATGAAAGTAATTCTCCACAACCAGAAAACACAAGAAAAGTAAAGATGCGACCAGTTTGGTGACATCCACAAAAGTATCAACAAGTAAAGCCGCCAAGATATGCAAACAGATGTCATTTGATGTCACTGATATTCCAACACAAAGTCAAGCAGCAATTTATAAGTCAACGTACAAAGAAGTTGCTAAATTGAAGGAGGAAATGAATGAAAAGTTACAAATGGAAGAATAGTCTTTACATCGATGGAAAGTGCAGTGAGGAAAATGAGCAACAGGTATTAGCACTTAAAAATGAAACAATGGAGGAAAACTGAATGTACTGCATTTGAAAGATGGCAAAAACTATTTCTGAAGGAATGGCAAAAGTTATTGATAAATACAGCTTATGGACTGCAATAATGATGATCATTGTTGATACAACAAACTTTAACATAGGGGAAAAGAGTGGAGCTGTTGTCAAACTGCAACGAATGTTCTCAGAGATGAGGAATAGCAAACTACAATTTATCAGTTGTCAGTATCACGTTCTGGACAGGATTCTCCGTTTGATACACAAATAACCCGCACCAACTCCCTTGCAGTGCTCCTCTTTCTTAGTATTTGATTGTCCCCTCCTACTCTTACTACCTCCCCACTACTACCTTCTACCTCCACTTCTACCAGTTCTACCACTACTACTACTACTACTACTACCACCTCCTGCCTATATATACCCATCTTCCTCTCCTTCTCGTTAGTGTGACTTTGTAAATGGTCCAACTCGGACCGAAACGTCGTCGTAAGCTCCTCTCTTCTATGTGCGGGTTATTTGTGTATCGTTTCAGTCACGGTATTGTGCCTTTTTTTGTTATTCTCCGTTTGATAATGGATGAAAATCTTGGTGCTAAAACCAGTTTTCCAAACATCGAGTATCCATTTGTATCCCAACTGGTGAAGAATTATGAGGGACTAAAGGCAAAGGTTTGTTAATGGAACAGAAGAGATCCTCCATGAATCAGGAAGGAGAGAGAGTTTTTGTACCATCTAACTTAAGTGTTTAGATTCTTTAAAGAAAAACGGGCACTTTCCTTTGATTAATTTCCAGAAAATTCCAGCAATGTAAGGTGGAATTCAAGAGCCATTCCAAGCATTCTTACATTCATTCTTATACCTACAAGATGGATGACTCTGGAGAAGATTCATTTCATGCACGTGGGCAGATTATTGGTTTACTGATCAGATGTACTGATCAGATGTACGATGAAAAGCACTGAACTCGTTGAAAAATCACTGGAAGCACGAGCCGTCCACATTCAATATTCGAAGAAGTAATCAGTGTGCTGAACGTGCAATCAAAGTTATGCAGGAACTGTATGCTGTTTGCAGAAAAAAAACTGCAACTTCGGTTTATTCTAGCAATAAATAGTAATATATGAACAAACATGCTAACAATGATATTGTTAGCTGTTTTATTTGTTATTAATATTACATGCAATATGCATTCAAGTTACTTGTGTTCGTTACTCGTTCTTTTTAGTTCTAAAAAGATAGTGAAATGTAAGGTTATTTCTTTGCTAGTAGATAAGAGTATCTAATTAAGGTACAGGAATATTACGTTGTAAGAAAGTTATAACCCTAGTGAGTACGCATGTTGATAAATGACTGATCATGAATTTTGCAATAAGTTCACACCACAAGAGAAAGTTCAACTTACCAAGTTAACATCAATGGTCTTCTGCCAGTTCTGTTCATTACCAATACCTGCGTTGTTGATGAGGAGTGAGATGGTGCCCAGTTTCTCCGCCCCTGTGTCCCAGGCAGCTGTGGGAACAAAGGTACTCTGAGTCTGTGTCTTGGGAAGTATCTTTCTCACTAAATACTCTCAACTACAGCATCATATAAGCCGTTCATTATGTAACTGAACCAAAATACTGATGATTCTGTAATCTTTACATTAGATTACCCTCTTAACCTAAGTGTAAAGATTAATCTAGGGGTTAACCTAAGCGATAATAACCGTAATAAATGCGAGGTCTATGTTTGTTAAACATGTGTTATTTAAGCATCACCGGTTCACAGGTATATATACTCCAACTATCTAAATCAGAAATAAACAAATATTTATATATATATATATTATATATATATTCATGTACACCACAGTCATGTGTAATATAATTTATTAATTTCACTAAAACGAAAATGTTATGATTTTCTCACCTAAAAAATCATCATCTTTGGTAACGTCACAGGCGACGAATATAACATTATCTTGACCATAAGATTCTTGAAGCTGTTCTACCGTAGCGGTTCCAGCCTGCGTGTCTATGTCAGCCACACATACCTGCAACAACAATCTTGGTTACGTGTGGGGCTGGTGGAAGTAGGTTAGGGGTTCGTAGGTAGTGCATGGTAGTTGGTCGGTGGCTAGTAGTAGGTCGGGAGTTGGTAGTTTGACGGTGGGTAGTATTACGTTTGTGGTTGGTAGTAGGATGGTGGCTGGCAGTTGACCGGTAGTTGGTTGACATTTGCTGATAATAAAACGGAAGCCTCTTAAACGTTTCACACTCCACCAGGATTGCCAGTCTTTTCTCTTTCTCATCAACACGCAGGAAGACAGGAAGACAGCAACCACCCAGGGAAGTACTACCGTCCTGCCAGATGACTGTGAAACAAAAACCTGTAACTGTTTTGCATGATGGTAGGATTGCTGGTTTCTTTTTCTGTCTCATAAACACGCTAAGATAACAGGGATATCTTGCTACTCCTACTTACACTTTGGTCACACTTCACAGACACGCACATGCATATATATATATACATACATCTAGGTTTTTCTCCTTTTTCTAAATAGCTCTTGTTCTTTTTATTTCTTCTATTGTCCATGGGGAAGTGGAAAAGAATCTTTCCTCCGTAAGCCATGCGTGTCGTATGAGGCGACTAAAATGCCGGGAGCAATGGGCTAGTAACCCCTTCTCCTGTATACAATTACTAAAAAAGAGAAGAAGAAAAACTTTATAAAACTGGGTTGCTTAAATGTGCGTGGATGCAGTGCGGATGACAAGAAACAGATGATTGCTGATGTTATGAATGAAAAGAAGTTGGATGTCCTGGCCCTAAGCGAAACAAAGCTGAAGGGGGTAGGAGAGTTTCAGTGGGGGAAATAAATGGGATTAAATCTGGAGTATCTGAGAGAGTTAGAGCAAAGGAAGGGGTAGCAGTAATGTTAAATGATCAGTTATGGAAGGAGAAAAGAGAATATGAATGTGTAAATTCAAGAATTATGTGGATTAAAGTAAAGGTTGGATGCGAGAAGTGGGTCATAATAAGCGTGTATGCACCTGGAGAAGAGAGGAATGCAGAGGAGAGAGAGAGATTTTGGGAGATGTTAAGTGAATGTATAGGAGCCTTTGAACCAAGTGAGAGAGTAATTGTGGTAGGGGACTTGAATGCTAAAGTAGGAGAAACTTTTAGAGAGGGTGTGGTAGGTAAGTTTGGGGTGCCAGGTGTAAATGATAATGGGAGCCCTTTGATTGAACTTTGTATAGAAAGGGGTTTAGTTATAGGTAATACATATTTTAAGAAAAAGAGGATAAATAAGTATACACGATATGATGTAGGGCGAAATGACAGTAGTTTGTTGGATTATGTATTGGTAGATAAAAGACTGTTGAGTAGACTTCAGGATGTACATGTTTATAGAGGGGCCACAGATATATCAGATCACTTTCTAGTTGTAGCTACACTGAGAGTAAAAGGTAGATGGGATACAAGGAGAATAGAAGCATCAGGGAAGAGAGAGGTGAAGGTTTATAAACTAAAAGAGGAGGCAGTTAGGGTAAGATATAAACAGCTATTGGAGGATAGATGGGCTAATGAGAGCATAGGCAATGGGGTCGAAGAGGTATGGGGTAGGTTTAAAAATGTAGTGTTAGAGTGTTCAGCAGAAGTTTGTGGTTACAGGAAAGTGGGTGCAGGAGGGAAGAGGAGCGATTGGTGGAATGATGATGTAAAGAGAGTAGTAAGGGAGAAAAAGTTAGCATATGAGAAGTTTTTACAAAGTAGAAGTGATGCAAGGAGGGAAGAGTATATGGAGAAAAAGAGAGAAGTTAAAGAGAGTGGTGAAGCAATGTAAAAAGAGAGCAAATGAGAGAGTGGGTGAGATGTTATCAACAAATTTTGTTGAAAATAAGAAAAAGTTTTGGAGTGAGATTAACAAGTTAAGAAAGCCTAGAGAACAAATGGATTTGTCAGTTAAAAATAGGAGAGGAGAGTTATTAAATGGAGAGTTAGAGGTATTGGGAAGATGGAAGGAATATTTTGAGGAATTGTTAAATGTTGATGAAGATAGGGAAGCTGTGATTTCGTGTATAGGGCAAGGAGGAATAACATCTTGTAGGAGTGAGGAAGAGCCAGTTGTGAGTGTGGGGGAAGTTCGTGAGGCAGTAGGTAAAATGAAAGGGGGTAAGGCAGCCGGGATTGATGGGATAAAGATAGAAATGTTAAAAGCAGGTGGGGATATAGTTTTGGAGTGGTTGGTGCAATTATTTAATAAATGTATGGAAGAGGGTAAGGTACCTAGGGATTGGCAGAGAGCATGCATAGTTCCTTTGTATAAAGGCAAAGGGGATAAAAGAGAGTGCAAAAATTATAGGGGGATAAGTCTGTTGAGTGTACCTGGTAAAGTGTATGGTAGAGTTTATAATTGAAAGAATTAAGAGTAAGACGGAGAATAGGATAGCAGATGAACAAGGAGGCTTTAGGAAAGGTAGGGGGTGTGTGGACCAGGTGTTTACAGTGAAACATATAAGTGAACAGTATTTAGATAAGGCTAAAGAGGTCTTTGTGGCATTTATGGATTTGGAAAAGGCGTATGACAGGGTGGATAGGGGGGCAATGTGGCAGATGTTGCAAGTGTATGGTGTAGGAGGTAGGTTACTGAAAGCAGTGAAGAGTTTTTACGAGGATAGTGAGGCTCAAGTTAGAGTATGTAGGAAAGAGGAAATTTTTTCCAGTAAAAGTAGGCCTTAGACAAGGATGTGTGATGTCACCGTGGTTGTTTAATATATTTATAGATGGGGTTGTAAGAGAAGTAAATGCGAGGGTCTTGGCAAGAGGCGTGGAGTTAAAAGATAAAGAATCACACACAAAGTGGGAGTTGTCACAGCTGCTCTTTGCTGATGACACTGTGCTCTTGGGAGATTCTGAAGAGAAGTTGCAGAGATTGGTGGATGAATTTGGTAGGGTGTGCAAAAGAAGAAAATTAAAGGTGAATACAGGAAAGAGTAAGGTTATGAGGATAACAAAAAGATTAGGTGATGAAAGATTGAATATCAGATTGGAGGGAGAGAGTATGGAGGAGGTGAACGTATTCAGATATTTGGGAGTGGACGTGTCAGCGGATGGGTCTATGAAAGATGAGGTGAATCATAGAATTGATGAGGGAAAAAGAGTGAGTGGTGCACTTAGGAGTCTGTGGAGACAAAGAACTTTGTCCTTGGAGGCAAAGAGGGGAATGTATGAGAGTATAGTTTTACCAACGCTCTTATATGGGTGTGAAGCGTGGGTGATGAATGTTGCAGCGAGGAGAAGGCTGGAGGCAGTGGAGATGTCATGTCTGAGAGCAATGTGTGGTGTGAATATAATGCAGAGAATTCGTAGTTTGGAAGTTAGGAGGAGGTGCGGGATTACCAAAACTGTTGTCCAGAGGGCTGAGGAAGGGTTGTTGAGGTGGTTCGGACATGTAGAGAGAATGGAGCGAAACAGAATGACTTCAAGAGTATATCAGTCTGTAGTGGAAGGAAGGCGGGGTAGGGGTCGGCCTAGGAAGGGTTGGAGGGAGGGGGTAAAGGAGGTTTTGTGTGCGAGGGGCTTGGACTTCCAGCAGGCATGCGTGAGCGTGTTTGATAGGAGTGAATGGAGACAAATGGTTTTTAATACTTGACGTGCTGTTGGAGTGTGAGCAAAGTAACATTTATGAAGGGATTCAGGGAAACCGGCAGGCCGGACTTGAGTCCTGGAGATGGGAAGTACAGTGCCTGCACTCTGAAGGAGGGGTGTTAATGTTGCAGTTTAAAAACTGTAGTGTAAAGCACCCTTCTGGCAAGACAGTGATGGAGTGAATGATGGTGAAAGTTTTTCTTTTTCGGGCCACCCTGCCTTGGTGGGAATCGGCCGGTGTGATAATAAAAAAAAAAAAAAAAAAATATATATATATATATATATATATATATATATATATATATATATATATATATATATATATGTATATAATTCAAGGATTATGTGGAATAAAATAAAAGTTGGATGTGAAAAGTGGGTTATAGTAAGCATATATGCATCTGGAAAAGAGAGAAGTGTAGAGGAGAGAGAGAGATTTTGGGAAATGTTGAGTGAATGAGTGGGGAGTTTTGAACCAAGTGTGAAAGTACTTGTGGTTGGGGATTTCAATGCTAAAGTGGGTAAAAATATTGTGGAGGGAGTAGTAGGTAAATTTGGGGTGCAAGGGGTAAATAAAAATGGGGAGCTTTTAATTGAGCTATGTGTAGAAAGAGGTTTGGTAATAAGTAATACATATTTAATGAAAAAGAGGATAAATAAATATACATGGTATGATATAGCACGTAATGAAAGTAGTTTGTTAGATTATATATTGGTGGATAAAAGGTTAAGATAAGATAAGATAAGATTTCGTTCGGATTTTTAACCCCGGAGGGTTAGCCACCCAGGATAACCCAAGAAAGTCAGTGCGTCATCGAGGACTGTAACTTATTTCCATTGGGGTCCTTAATCTTGTCCCCCAGGATGCGACCCACACCAGTCGACTAACACCCAGGTACCTATTTGCTGCTAGGTGAACAGGACAACAGGTGTAAGGAAACGTGTCGGAATGTTTCCACCCGCCGGGAATCGAACCCGGGCCCTCCGTGTGTGAAGCGGGAGCTTTAGCCACCAGGCCACCGGGGTAGGCTCCAGGATGTACACGTTTACAGAGGGGCAACTGATATATCGCATCATTATCTAGTTGTAGTTACAGTTAGAGTAAGAGGTAGATGGGAAAAGAGGAAAATGGCAACAACAAGTAAGAGGGAGGTGAAAGTGTATAAACTAAGGGAGGAGGAAGTTTGGGTGAGATATAAGCAACTATTGGCAGAAAGGTGGGCTGGTGCAGGTATGAGTAGTTGGGGGAAGGGTTGAAGAGGGTTGGAATAGTTTTACAAATGCAGTATTAGAATGTGGGGCAGAAGTTTGTGGCTATAGGAGGGTGGGTGCAGGAGGAAAGAGGAGTGATTGGTGGAATGATAAAGTAAAGGGTGTGATAAAAGAGAAAAAGTTAGCTTATGAGAGGTTTTTACAAAGCAG